TAACGTGTTAACCGTTTACATGTTGAGAAATCTATTTAATATTATAAAATATAAATTAATATTTCTAAAAATTATGAATATGTTTACAACATAATTATTATATTTACAAATACAAATAATTAAATAGCTAATAAGATAACATAATTATACGAAAACACAAATACTAAATTAAAAATTATATTTTAAATAATAAAATTATTACCCAAATAATTTTTTTGTTTTAAATTATTTTAAAGCTAAACTAAATTATTAATACAGACTTGCGCGTAGCGCAAGTATAAAATCTAGTAATATTAAGAAAGTGGGATTGATTGTGTATAATAATGGTTTTCAAATGCGCGTGCCATTACGCAAGTGCCTAAAATGTCAAACTTAATGGCTTTCAATTATTCATACACCAAGCGGTCTAAGAACTAAAAAATTGCTTCCAAATTAAGTAAACAGTGTGTAGAACTATGTTTAAAACTTCATAGCCAAATTGATTAAAATGTATTATTATTGCAAAAAATAATTAAGTTTCAATCTAAACCAGAAGTATTAATAATGTATTTTGATTAAATGTACTGTTATTATTGTAAAAATGTTATTTTAAGTTTGTATTCTGACGAAACCAGAAATTAAGCAGTATCCAAGAGCACTATTGATTTATTATACCAAATAAAATGAAACATCTTTCGTTTTCTACAAAAATAGATACATCATAGCGGCAACCGTTTTTAAGCTGCTTAGCTATGAATGGGTCTTAATTAAGACTCTCAACAACGCCCGTCAAAAAGGAATTCGCAGTGCCACATTATATGCACATAATACGAAATCACCAAATGTGTTGTATGGAGTGTGTTAAAAAGTTATTAAGTGGTCGAAGGGTAAGTGGCTAATGGTGATATAGAACATTCAGGGCCGGTCCTGGGCCAAGCCGGATGAAACATTCGCTTTGGGCCCCCAAATTTTTTTAAAAAAATTACATGTAAAAAGGTCCCCAAAATTTTATTTTCAGGCCCCCAAATATGTAAAAAATTTTTTTAGGTGAAACCGTTTAAAAATCGCCTTATGCCCCCTATTTCTCAGGGCCGACCCTGATAACATTTGGTCAAGTCAATATATCCCATTTTAACATCCACAATCGCATTAATTTTGCATCAAGCACATGTCTGGAATGACGTAAACCCGCTATACAAGGTGAACAAAGTC